ACTCTTAAAACTCAACGATAAGCAAACAAACAACCCCATTAAAAAATGGGCAAAAGACCTAAGCAGGCACCTCATCGGAAAAGAGGTACAGATGTTCAATACCACATGTCATTAGGGAATCATGAACTAAAACAGTGAGGCACCATGGCCCACCTAAAACAGCCAAAGTCCACAGCACTGACACCACCAGACGCTGGCGAGGACCCGGGACCACAGGAATCCCCGTTCACTGCTGGCAGGAATGCAAAATGCTATAGCCAATTTGGAAAACAGTATGGCCGTTTCTCAAAAAAAAAACCAAGCATACTCTAACCCTAGGATCCAGCAATCTACTCTCTGGTATTTTCTCAAATTAATCGAATGCTTATGTCCACCCAAAAACCCGAACACAAGTGTTCACAGAAGCTTTATTTGTCATTTCCCAAACTCGGAAGAACAAAAATGTCCTTCAATAAGTGGACAAACAACTGTGGTACATCCATTCAATAGACTATAACTCAGCACTGAAAAGAAGTGCACTCTCAAGCCACAAAAAAGACATGGAGGAAATTTCACCACATATTGTGCGTGAAAGGAAGCCAGTGTGGAAGGACCACAAGCTGGATGCCGGGATGTTCTGGAAAAGCCAGCACTGTGGACACAGGAAAAAGATGCCTGGTGACCAGGAGCTGGGGAGAGGGAGGGATGAACACGAAACCGGCCCAAATGTCTCATAGATCTTTTTTTTTAATAAACATAGAAATTGACCCTTCTGGCCTTAAAACTTGAAACTTACATTCATTTTACTTGAGTCCCTTCCTCAGGAAAGAACAGCCAGGCCTCTCAAAAAGTATCAGAGAACTGAAACTCAGCAGGTAACCACCTCCAGACAATGAGACCAAACCCCTCATTCATCCTGATTGCTTCCTTCCCTTCCTGAGTTCTTGTTGTCCTATATGTGGTTACATTTCTTCCCTGCTAGATAAACCAGTAGTTTTAGTCAGTCAGGGAGACAGATTTGAGACTGAACTCTGCTCTCCTCGGCTACAACACCTAATTAAAGCTTTCTTCCTCGACAATACAGTCTCAGTGATTGGCTTTCTGTGCAGGGAGCTGCAGGACCTGGATTGAAACCCCTGGTGTTTCTGTAACAGCTGTATGGGACACGGAGGATTCTTAGGGCAGTGAAACAATTCGGCATGATGATGTAACGTGCAACGGTGAGTACAAGTCATTATGCATTTGTCCCAACCCAGAGAATGTACAACATCAGGAGCAAACTCCATTCAACTCCACTTAATCTTTCTGGAAACCCAAAACTGCTTTTTTTTTTGATCTCACTTTATCACACTTTATCACCCAGGCTGGAGTACAGTGGCACAATCTTGGCTCACTGTAACCTCTGACTCCCAGGTTCAAGCGATTCTCCTGCCTCAGTCACTCAGTGAGGATTGCAGGTATGCATCACCACACCCAGCTCATTTTTGTATTTTGGTAGAGATGGAGTTTCAACATGTTGGCCAGGCTGGTCTCAAACTCCTGGCCTTAAGTGTTCCACCCTGGAAAAGCCACCACGCCCAGCCACCAAAATTGCTTTTTTAAAGTGCATTAATTTAATTTTTAAAAAAGAAGGTACAGTGTGGCATTCAAGCGGCAGGAGGCCTGTCCTCATGGTTCTTGTGCTGAAGGATGACCTCCTGCTGAAAGCCGGTCCACTGAGCTGGCACTTGCAGGGGGGACCTGGAGTGTTTGCAGTTGAACCTCCCCAGCCAGGGCTGTAGGAGGGCAGGGAGACCTGCAGTGCAGTGAGGGTCCCCGTACAGGTTTCCAAGGACCTTCTCTTGCTGCCCTGAGTCAGCATTCATGCACGCATTCCTTCCCTTAATCTTTCAAACTGTTTCTGGCCACCCTACCAGGCGCCCAGCACATTAGGCCCCCGTTGATTCATTCGCTCATAGACTCATTCATTCATTCACTTAATCACTGTCTTTGTCTAGGCAGAAAGCAGGTATCCTCCCGCCAGCCCTAGACAGAATGATTTCAAACCCTAATTAGTACTGTGGGGCTTAATGAGGTTTCCTGGGATTCTCATTACCAGGGAAATCATTTCAGGAAGGCTGTCCATGACACAATTAATACACGGTGTCCACGGCACGGTCCACGCCAGTAAGGAGCCTCTTCCTGAGACGAGCAACCCAGGGAACACCAATGAAGCAAAGAGGCTGTGGAAGGGGGTGCCCCAGCTCCCCAGGGTACACAGAGCATGAGCGCTCAGCTGAGGGGTGGGGCTGGACCTGGCTGCCAAAGCCGTTCTGCCAGTAGGAGCAGGGGTGGCCAGGCGGCAGCACAGGCCCTGCCCCCCGTGGTCAGCATGCACCCTGGATTTTAGGTTGCATTTAGTTTTTATCTACAATAGACAGTGGCACTCAGGTGCTCGTTTGTGTATTTTAATTAAGGAATTCCTATCCACACACACATTCGTTTAGCCATTCATGCAGTTTTCAGATGCTTAATGTGCATCTACCATGTGCCAAGCAGCTTCATAATAAACACATATTTATTCATAAATCCATAAAGCCATGCATCTGTAAACTGCAAAGCTTCAACCTGATAGATCGCTTGGGGTTTGCAGGGACAGCTCTTCCAGTGTCACCAGGAGTCTCTGAGATGGCGGGAAACGCTTCCTGTGGGGGCGGTGCATTTGAGCTCCACGTAGGGAAGGCCCAGGGCAGCTCTAAGCTGAGTGCAGAGTCCCAGGTCCCAAAAATAGTGAGGTCACACCAGCATCAGTGACGTCAGCAGGCCAGCAGCAGGCCCTTAGCCACGGAGGTTCAGATAGCGTGGACTGTGGGTCCCATGGCCCCAGAGTCAGCCGGGCGCCCTCTGGCTTGGCCTCGGGATGACCAGTGACATTCGGTGCAGCTGAGGCAGCAGTTCACCCTACAATGAAATATTCACAGCTGCTGGCACAGCCCAGCCCTGAAATAGAATTTGCAGAAGAAAAAGAGCCATCAGGCATTTGATCGTTATGTTAATGATGCTTTATTTGGAAGCAAACTCCATCTGACGCTGTCCCAGCCAGCAAGAGTCAGGGCCCGGCCAACCTGTGCCTCGGGCTGCAGGGGCAGCCGCATCCCGGAGGCACCAGTGGGGGACATGCCTGGGGAAGGCACGGGCCTGGCTCGAGATCATGGCCTATGGCCCCCCGCCTCGGAGGAGCCCATGAGATATGATGGCATCCTGATGTTTGCCAGAAAGCGTCCTTTTAAGCAGAAAGCAAGCAACGGCCCTGCGTGGAGGCTCTGCAGATCCAGTCTGGCTGAGCAGGAGCTAGACAAACTCCCCTCCCCTAAGCAGCCTCTTCCATGGAAACACTGCCCCTCCTGCCTTCAGCCCCTCCTGCCTTCGGCCCCTCCTGCCTTCAGCTCCCCTTGCCGCCAAGGCTGCCACCGGTCAGTGTCCTCCAGGGTGGTAGGCAGCCCAGGGGCACCCCCCCCAGGAGCCTCTCAAGCTGACTTTCCGGGCTACCCCGGCTAAGCCCTGCCTCCTGTTCTCCAGCGGGCCCCTGTCCGGGGCAAAGGTGTCACAGCTCTGGCAAGGCCTGGCTCTTCCTGCAGTGCCAAGGACGTCCCCCTGCTTCTCAGCCCAGCCTTCCCGGCTGGGTCTGCTCTTGGCCAGTGGCCGGTGCCCCTCCGGAAGGGCTGCCTCCCACTTACATGCCCCTCTGAGTTGTTTTTCGGAAGTAATTTCCATGTAATGAGAACACAGGGAAATCTCATTATTTCAGACACCACTAATTAGGGGTTTTCGATCAGCGTGTCCAGGGCCGGCAGAAGCTGACATTTGCTTTCTCCACAGACACTGCAAATTAACAGGCAGAAAGATTGCCGGGACCTTTACAAAGCCCGAGGCAGCTCCTGCAGCCGCTGTCAGAAGGCGCCCTGCTTCACCAGGCATGCTGATTCCATGTCTCTCCCTATGGCCTAGGGGAGACCTGCAAAGGGTGGGCGACCAGCGGCAGCACTGCAGGCCTGTGGGTGTTCCACCTCCGGAGGCCCCAAAGCAGCCATGAAAGGCCCTGCTAGTTTTACTCCCATTTCACAGGGAAAGAAACAGGGCTCAGAGAGGTCACAGCTCTTCCCAGATGGCAGTGATTACATAACAGGGACATGCCCAAGGCCACCCAGCCCCACTGACTCCAGGGTCCTGGCAACTTCCCCCAGGGATGGTGGGTGGAGAGGAGGGGTTGCCAGCAAAAATCAGGGCCCGTGGAGAGCAGTCCCCTCCCCTGGGCTGCCATCCCCATCAGGCATGGGCTCAGTGGCCCCCAAGCTCCCTGGGCTGCCTTCCCCTTCAGGCATGGGCTCAGTGGCCCCCAAGCTCCCTGGGCTGCCTTCCCCTTCAGGCATGGGCTCAGTGGCCCCCAAGCTCCCTGGGCTGCCGTCCCCATCAGGCATGGGCTCAGTGGCTCCCAAGCTCCCTTTTCCAGCTCTGCCAGACCCCATCCCACCAGGGAGACGTGGGGGTCTGAGCAAAGGGACCCTTCTACTTTGTGAACTTAGAGGTCCATAAAGGTCAACAGGCCAGGGCATTGAGGCCTGTTTTGTTTGTTTTTTTTTTTTTGCAGAATTTCAAAGTTTTATGGCAACTTTTACAGAAATCACAGAAAAGAGACAGCAACTGATGCTGATGAGCTGGGGGGAGAAGGAGAGTGGGTAACAGGTCTGGGAGGTTGGGGCTGAGCACAACAGGATGATAGAATGCTGAAAACCTGTGGGAAGCAGAAAGTTATGGGGATAGCTGGGTCGTCCTAGGGGCCCAAGGAGTGGGTGGCACTGCCCAAATGTGTCCTTTGGGCAAGAAATATCAACAGTAAGAAAATGCAGATGGCCTACCAAAGATGGATGGCCTCCAAAGTTAAAAATGCCCACCCAGATCCCTTGGCCCAATCCCATCCCCCCACCCACCCCCGCCCCCATCAGGCAGAGATATGGCAGCATTTGCTGGCTTGTAGCATTGGTCTTCTGGGACCCTCGGTCTCCTCTTCGAGGGTCCTGCCTGGATTTGCTGGCACCGAGGGCAAAATGAACCTTCCAGATTGTCAGGGGAAATCAGCTGACTCCCTTTGATTCCCGGCCTCCTCCCCAAAGCTGGTTCTCACGGCTGAGGGAGTTTGCTGCCCTCTCAAAAGTTAAGTCTGTCACCTCCACGTGGGGGTGGAGAGTGCCAGGTGAGTGGAGGCCCAGGCATCCTGCCAGGAGAGAGCCCTGGGCAGTGGCAGCCCCGGAAGCCGCAGAGCAGGAGCTGCTGCTGGGTGTCCAGAGCCAGGCTTTCCACCCCTGCACTGCCCACGATGACGCCGAAGCAGAGGACCCAGAGGGAGAAAACGCCCCTTAGGAGAAGCGGGCAGGGACCAGGGAGCCTGGGAGGGAGTTCAGACAGGGAGGAGGAGAGCCTGCTGGGAGCATTTCCTGAAACTTCCAGCTCCTCCTCCCCTCAGTCTTTCCCAGGGCTGAGGCCATCCCTGGGCAGCCACCTCCCTGCAGCGCCAGGCCCGCTCTGCCCACCCTTACTCATTCCTCCTGTCTGGTGCTTGAGGACGTGGCGTCTGGAAAGTCTGTCCGACCCCAGGTGAGTACACAGTGAAGGGGCCATGTCAGTGGGGAGGCAGAGGTCTGGGGAAAGTGGTGCTGCCCCAGGACGAGCTGCTGGGAAGGAGGCAGGGGTGAGGCCCTGTGCAGAACCTTCCCCCACCACAGGCGTCCCAGAAGGGCATGGTCGTGCCCTCGGATGCCACAACTGTGCCCACAGAAGCCTCACCTTCCTCCCAGCTGCAGGTGAGTCTGCAGCCTGGGTCCCATGGGTGAGGCCCCAAGGAGCTGTGGAGGCCACTATGGTTGACCCCAGTGCAGCCCCACAGCCACCTGCCCAGAGACCATCAGCAACTCCTCAGGGAGGGGAGGTGGGGGCGGGGCGGAGCTAGCAGAGCTTGGTGCCTTGGGGTCCTCTTTCCTCCTCAGGTATTTCTTATCACCTGGTGCACTTGTCTAGACCCAGCGCTCATCAGTGCCCAGCAGCACCCAGGGACACACCCAGACATGTGGGAGCAGCAGGGCCTGGCTGGAGGACTGGGCTCCCAGGACTGGGGTCTTGTTGGGAGGGTGCAGGGAAGGAGAGGGAGGCGCCGTTTGGACTGGAAGGAGGGTGGAAGGGTGGGGCTGCATGAGAAGGGGCCTTGGAGATGGAAGCTAGCCCTGCCCACCACAAGGGCGGGGAAGGTGGAGTGGAGCCAGCATCCTCTGCCAGCACCTGGACTCCTTGCCATGAGCGCTGCTGCAGGCCTGTGTGCCAGAGGCCTGCGGCTTCACGGACGCCCACTCCCTCCGTTAAAGGTTGGCCTGAGTCTGTCTGTACTGGCAGCTTCCACAACGCCCACTCAGACCCCACCAACGCACCCTGCCCACAAGAACCCAGGTCACTCCCGCTTGGTGATCGCGGACGAACTTGCCAGTGTCACGCTGGTCCAGTCCCAGGTATAGCCCAAGCCCTGTGTCTGGGAGTCAGTGGCTTCGCAGCAGACACCATGGGGTGTGCACCCCAAACCACCGCAGTTTGTCACATGGGGGGACCCGGAGGTCTCCTCTCTCTCTCCCCCCAACCCCAGGCTGTCTTCTCTCAACTAGGTGGTTCCATCTGGACTCCAGCCCACCTCTGTGCACAGGACGCAGGAGCTCTGGCTGCCCACCTCTCTGTGAAGGGTGATCACGGTGATGTATTTGATCTTCTGGCAGCAATTTAATCGAATCTGGAAATCTGGGCGGGTACCTGGTTCCAGACTCATCCCCTGTTGCTAGGAAACCCAACTCCTGCAGATCCCACCCTGCTCCATCCAGAGACAGTGGGACAGACCCTCCCACAGCTGAAGCAGGGCTGGGAATGCTGGAGACGGCTGGGAACAGCAGTGGCCTTTGCACTGGCTAACTTCACCACAGAGCTCCCACGGGTGCCGGAAAATAGGCTGTGGGGGTACTGCCCTCCCTGCGAGCCCTCCCAGGTGCTGCAGGTCCACCCCGGCCCTCGCCCCCCGCTCCCCCTCCACTTCTTGCACCCCCTTTACCCATGCTCTCCCTCCCCTCCTCCACCTACTTCCACAGAATCTGTCTCTCCTGCTCCAGGTCACTTAGAAGCCTGTGGCGCGTCCCTCGGTACCTCTCCACCTGCACACCATAAACACCCGCAGTGCGGGGCCATGGCTGTCTCTCCCTGGTGTCCCAGCACCTGCAGGCTAGTGGCTCTTCAGACTCCTTGCACCCCAGTGGGGTGCGGGGGGGCTGGTGGAAAGTGAGCCCTGTGGCTCCTAGAGAAATGGTGAGCAGCAGGCAGAGTTCCACAAGGGTCCCCCAACCCAGCTGACCTCACCAGGTCATTCACACAAGAATGTGGGGCCAATGGGTTTCTGCCAGGCGTACCAGGGCTGAGGGCACACCTGGGTCCTCACAGCCCCCACGGTCCAGGGATGGCAGAGTCCTCCTTCCCAGAACAGCCAGCCCTTTGCCATTTCCATGTTTTTCATTTCAATAATTCTTGCAGCCCATGTTGTGTAAATAAAATTATTCTTCCCAAAAAAATCATTAGCAGGGCCCGACACTAATCCCCCTGCAATCTGTGTAATTAACTGCAGTAACATAGGGCATTAAAGGACCGGTTTGCTAATCACCACTCCTCTGCTCCACGCACCTAATTAAATCTCCTTCCTGTTTATCCACTTACAGGATCCTCTGCAAAGATACCAGCGCCGGGCACGCTGCTGTCATAAATCTCTGTGTAATTTCAGAGTGTGCAGTCCCACTCTGGTTGTTGGCGTTCCATGCCCATGGCTGAGCCCTCCACCCCTGCAGCCACATCTCCCCATGACTTGGCTGAGCCTGACTCTGTGGAAAGCACCCTGTGGGCCCCTCCAGAGTGGGAGGGCAGGATGCTGCAGTGTGGGCGAGGCAGGCTCGGGAAGGTGCCACTGCAGGAGCCCATCTCCAGTACCCCAGCCCCACAGCCTTCTCGGTTCCTACACCTTTGTCATGCAGCCGCTTACACTGGAGCCTTTCACATGGTCCCACCCCAACGCCTGGCTTCATGAGGGGGGTCTGGGGTCCCTGGGCCGTTCCTCAGACTCATGGCTGTCCAGTCCCCATTACACGGGGCCAACGAGGCTGCAGGCAATGATGTTGGCCTGCCACTAAAGAGCTGGCCAGTGGTCCCACGTGCCGTTACAGGTGTCCTTGTAAGAGGAGAAGCACGAGCTTTCACACCGAAGAGACCATAAGAACACAGAGCAGAGGCTGGAGGAGGGCCTGGAGGAGGCAGGAAGGGGCCTCCCGCAGAGCCTTCAAAGGGAGGGGGCCCCACCCCTTGATTTTGGACCTTGGCTGGTGGAACGGGGAGAGCATGCATTTCTGCTATTGTGAGCCTCCAGTCCATGGCAATTTGTTACTGCAGCCCCAGGACACAAAAAAGCCACTAAATCAGAATCTGAATTGGGAAGAGACCCCCAGGTAAAGCGATGCCTGAAGTCTGGGACGCTCTGGGCTACACACTGTCTGGAGCCTGGGTCATGTCGGCCCAGCAAGACCTGAGTGTGAAGGATGATCACACTGATGAGCAGGAAGACTCCTTCAGGTTAAACTGACCACGTGGTGGCCTCTCTCCCCACATTGGTCCTTCTAATCCTCCCACCCCACGGGAGCTGTCCTGCCATCACCCAGGCTGGGAAACTGAGGCCAAAAATGAAGTAACTTGTCTGAGAACAACTGTCTAGCCTATAGCTGAGCTGGGATTAGAACCTGGGGTCCCTGGCTTGTAGAATCTCTGAGCCGGTGGGCCAAGCCCACTCTGCCACCTGGGGCCTCTTGCTCACCACTTTGAGGATGGTAGTGCCACCCGTCGCAGCCCCGTGCCCTCCCGCTCCAAGCATACAGGTGGTGGGTGGGGGAAGCTGAGCCCTGACGGCCAGGCTGAACTTGCTAGAAGACACTGGGGCTCACTGTGAGAGCACTGGGCTTGGATGGACCAGAGGCCATCTTTGCACTGTGACCCTCAGATGGGATGCAGGTGGCCTAGGCACCAGAGGTGGCCAAGGGGAGGCAGAAGCACCACAGCCACCAGTGGCATGGGCCTGTCTGGGGCCATGGGGACTCGGGGTCTGAGCTGGCGCTGGGGTCCTCAGCTCTCCCCACCCGCTGCTTCCCTCAGCTGCCTCTTGTGGCACTGTCCAGGCACCTGCCCACCTGAGGCCCAGGAGGGCTTGACCCCCTGTTGAGGGTCAGTTCCCCTGAAGCCATGCCGGAGACAGAGACTGGTGTGCAGGGGGTCTCCAGGAGTCCTCTCAAACAGAACCCTGCAAGGGAACACAGGAAGCTGGGCCGGGCGGGGGAGAAGTTGAGCTGTGGTGCGACTGGGAGGCCTCGGCTCACCGCCCACATGCCCAGAGTTGCCCCCAGTCAGGGCGAGGCACCCAAGGCTTCCCAAGCCACGCATCCTCCAGTCATGAGTCAGCTTGGACAAGGCTATTCTCTCCAGCCAGGGCAGGCCTCCAGAGGGTTGGGCTGAGAGCTACTGCCAGCCGCCAGCACTCCCAACAGCGGGGATCGTGTACTTTGGTACTGCATGGGGAATCTGGGCAGCATGGCCCCAGGTCTACCCCGCACATAGCCCTGCTGCCAGCCCCCCTTTATACACCACCCTACACTCCTGCCTTCATCTCTGAGCCCCTCACCCCAGCCTCCCTGCTTGTAGCTGCTGCTGGTCTGCCCCCGTGCTGGGAGGCCCCCAGGGTAGGGGCTAGGGCAGAGTCTGAGGGTCACAGCTACTTCTCTGCCTGGATTTGGGGGTCAGTGGCTTAAATCACCACAGACCCCCAAGGCCCTCCACATGCACGTCTAACTGGGCATCCTGCCAAGCCTGTCCCTGGCAATTTCCTCCCATTAATAGCACTTCCATTCACCCCAGGCAGCAAATCTGTCAACACCAGCCCCCTTCTGGCTCATATTTTTTACTTTTAATTATGATCAAATGTGGAATATTGAGTAGTTTGATGCATTTTAGATGTCCACAGAGATCTCTTTCTAACCATGCAATTGCAGGACTCCAATGGCTCGTAAATGGAGCCATTACTTAAATATGTGTGCAGTCGGGGCTCCGGAGCGGGACATTTTCCCCCAGCAAGCGGTGCTGTGCGGGGAGTGGGAGCCGGAGACAGCACGGGAGTAATTACCAAGGCAAAAGTGTCCTCTGATCCCAGGAGCGAGCCCTGTTCTCCACTCGGGTGGGAAGACTGCTGATGGGTGCTTTCTGGCACCTTGTACCTGGATACCAAGCAACCAGCAGAGGCCACTGAGCATTCCCACCCTCACCAGAGGACGTCTTGCCGGGAAGAAGTGACTGGCGGCGCACGGCCCCATAAATGCACCTGCTTTGATCAAGACGAGGTCAGGGCAGAGGGGACTCAGGGTCAGGTGCGGGTCTGAGCCTCACCCCGTCCTCCCTGAGATGACGCATCATGGTTCAGTGAGAGGTTGAACTGGGTGAGCCCCACATTGACTGCAGGTTGCAGCCCACCGGCTGCAGGTGCACTGCTCTGATGACCAGGCCGAGGAGGCTTATCCAGAACATGGACTGGGATGGTGCATCTGGGGCTGGGGTCTTTCCAGCTCTGAAGGAGAGTCTTGGGGGATGCAGACATCAGAAGGTAAAGTGGGGGCATGAGGGCATGGCCTGTCAGAGCATCCCAGCAGCTGAGATGGCCCAGCCTCGCCAGGTCCCTTGTTCAGGCTGTGCAGGTGGCATGGCCAAGGGATAGGGGTTCCCTGCAGCTGAGGGCGATCCTGATGGGCCAGGAGCCATAGTCCTCCTTCAAGTGGGTCTCTAAGCTTCCCATGAACCATACCTCCCTCACTAGGGTCCAGTCAAAGAGCGGCTCTCCAGGATCCCCAAGGGCCTCCCTGGGAAGCTTAGAAGGAGGTTTGGGGGCTCCATGGCCCCTACTCACATCTGTCCTTTGGATCTTCCCCTTCACCCTCCAGGCTCCATTCCCCCTACCCCCAGCCAGCCCCTCTGCTGATGGGTGGCTCAGACCCTCATCCCCAAGGAACCCTCTGGGTGGGGGTGGCTGTCCCTGTCCGGTTACAGTCACAGGGAGGGAGCTGCAGGAGCCCTCCCAGGGTGGGGGTCGCCAGGCTCTGCACACGTGTCCCGACCCCTTGTGAGCCGGCAGCCCCGACCTGAATGCCAGTGTCGGTCTCCCTAGCGAGAGGAGGGTCCCCTTCTTGCCTGCTGGTGTCTGGAAAAAGGAGCCAAATGGCCCATCAACAGCCATGCCTCAAAGCAGAGCAGGACGCCGGCTGTGTCCCTGTGTGAGCACAGCCGCTCTGGAGCCCAGGATTCGACCCTGCCAAGCCCAAGCCATGGGAGTGGAAGCACAGGCCCCCAGAGCGTCTCTGGGAGTGAAGGCAGGCACAGGCTGTCCTGACTCCATCCATTGTTTCCAAGCCCATGTGTCCTTCCTGCTGGGGACACAGCGCCACATCAGGGTGTTTGTTTGGGGGTGGCACCACCTCTCACCGGGCGTTGTGCCCACCACTCTCCCAGGCAGTAAGCCCCAATAGGCCATATTTGATGGGGCAGGGGCCCTGGGTAAGCAGTGCCAGGTCTGATGTGGCGTTATGTGGGGTCCCACGCCAAGCAGGCCAGCCACTCTGCAGGGCCCAGATGACACTGCTGGCAGGGGCCCAGCAGCAGAAAAGGCAAACGCAGCCATGGGATCTGCACCTGTCCCTGGAGAACACGCCTCTCCTTCCCCAGGAAGAGCCCAGTGCAGTCCTCCAGGAGCCCAGCAGCAGCAAGGCTTTTCGAGGAGGCAGCCTCCCTAGGACCTGTGGCTGCATCTCTGGACAGAGCTGCAGAGCTTCACAGACTCGGCTCCCGGCTGGCTAAGCCCTCAGACATCCCTAGCCCAGGAGTCCCCGCTCAGAGGCCTCTTTACCTCCACGGAGGGAGACGGAGGGCAGCTGAGGACACTCAGCACTCAGGGCTCTGCATCCTTAGCCCATGTTTCTCTCTGTCCCCTCCCAAGTTCATACAATGGCAGGAGCCATTATCTTGGGGCTCCCTTGGAAGTGAGGCAACCCCCACATCTGTGCTGACCCCTGAACAGAGGCCATTTCAGGTAGGAAAGTGGAATGGGGGAGGGGGCCCTGGCTTTCTTTGCTCTGGCCTCATCCAATCGCAGTAAGAGAGTGCTATGGGCTAAACTGCGTTCTCTTAAAATCGTAGGTTGACACCCTGCCCCATGTGACTATTTGGGGATAAGACCTTTAAAGGGGTAGTTAAGGTGAAAACAGGTCCCAAGGGTGGGCCTTAATCCAGTAGAACTGGGGTCCCCATGGAGAGAGGGAGAGACACATGGGATGCATGTGCACAGAGGAAAGGCCGTGAGATGGTGAGAAGGCGGCCATCTGCAAGCCAGACATAGAGCCCTCGCCAGAAACCTCATCGGCAACACCCTGACCGTAGACTTCTAGCCTCCAGAACTCGGAGAAAATGAATTTCTGTGGCTTATGCTGCCAGCCTGTGGTCTTGTGTGGCTACAGCCCCAGGAGACACCTGCAATGACTGAAGCCTGGGCCGTGGCCCCTTCCTTGTCTACTCCACTGAGCTCGGCCCTCTCCAGCTCAGCCCAGCCCCTGGCAGTTCACTTGCCACCAAGTGGGCAGTTGTTCTCCCAAGGAATGGAGCCATTTCCCGGGCCCAGCATGGTCTTCTTTGCTGGCAGGTTGGACACCTGGTGGCCACAGGAGCTGGGTAAGCCTGGCAGTCCTCCTGTGGGGGAATGTCGTCTCCATCTCTGCCCCCAACGGTTGCCCCATCCTCATGCCCGCTGTGCCGGTGCTGGGTGGCAGATGACCGAAGCTGATGACCTCGACCAGCCCAGTCAGTTTGTCTCTGGCCTTTCAGTGGCCCCCTGTGGCTTAAACATGTGATACAGGATCTTCACTGCCTGCGTCTGCCCACGTATCTCTGTTCCAGACTCCAAGACTCCTCAGGGTGCGCTGGAGAAACACAACGAATAGGCAGTGTAGACAGAGAGAGGTTTATCATGAGGAAATGGCTCACACGATTATGGAGACAGAAGCCAGCAATTGGCCATCGGCAAGCTGGAGGCCCAGGAGAGCCCACGTGCAGTCTCAGCCCCAGTGCAAAGGCTGAGAACCGGGAGAGTGGATGGCGTGGGCTCCAGTCGGAGTCAGAGCCCAAAGGCAGGAGAAGACCAGAGTCCCAGCTGGAAGGCGTCAGGCCCAGGGCAAGTCCTCCCCGGAGCTGCCTTTTGTTCTGTTCTGGCTCTCCACGGCCTCAGTGAGGCCATCCGCGTTGGTGGGGGAGGTGTCTTCATCTGTTTGGACTGCTATGACAAAAATACCACAAACTGGTGGCTTCTGGAAAAGAAACACTTGTTGCTGATAGTCCGGCCTGGTGGCAGGGAGCTAAGCCCCGAGGCTCCACACCCCCGAGGCTGGTGAAGGCCGGGTCCTGGCCTCTGCCCACTGAGCTGTCCCCTCCATGCTGTTTTCCAATGTTTCCCCTTAAGAGGGCTGTGGTATGGGTGCCGTCTGTGTTCACACTCACTTCTGAAACCCAGCCTTGGGCCTGCCCTCCCCGTGTGGCTGGTCTGAATGCCTGAGCTGCTGAAGGAGGTGCCTGGTGCAACAGGCTGGGAGTTTCGGGGTCAGGGTCACCTCCCCACGGAGCTCAAAGGTGCCTCCGGCCCCGCTCATGGGTGGGCCTGGGTTCTTTCCTTCTCATAAGGGATCATTGCTAGACACATCTGGCCTTAGCACTGGGTGAGCCTGGTGCAACCTAGCTCCTAAAGAGACGTTCAGGCCACACGGTCACCTGGGGTCCTGCAGTCGGGCGTTCTGTCTCTCTTCGAGCCGGGAGACACAGCAGGAGGTGCTTTCAGAGGCATTCATTTCCCTGTAGTCATAGGATGAGAAGCCACGTGTTCTCCCCCCAGGCCTGGTGGTAAACTCCACCTTCGTCCTTTCCTGCCACTGGCACCTCCAACTCCACGGTATCTGCCTGATCAAGGGCCTGAGCAGTGGGGCTGCTGCCACTACAGAGCTCAACATGGTTTGGCCACATCCCCACCCAAATCTCAGCTCGAATTGCAGCTCCCATCATCCCCATGTGTCATGGGAAGGACCCAGTGGGAAGTAACTGAATCTTGGGTGGGTCTTTCCCATGCTGTTCTTGTGATAGTGAGTATGTCTCATGGAATCTGATGGTCTGATAAAGGGGAGGTCCCCTGCACACGCTCCCTCTCTCCTGCCGCCATGCCAGACGTGATTGACTCCTCCTCCACCTTCCGCCGTGATTGTGAGGCCTCCCCAGCCATGTGGAGCTGTGAGTCCATTAAACCTCTTTCATTTATAAATTACCCAGTCTCGGGAATGTCTACATCAGCAGCTTGAGAACAGACTAATAAAGAGCCATTTCCTGCCCGCTCTGTGTCACCCCCTCTGTGGATGGAAGCTCCATCCCTGCCTGTCGAATCTGCTGCTTCCAGAACCTGAAAACGCCCAGTGCACCTTGTGCTGCTTTTGTGGCAGGAGGTGCCGGTGCAGTCATTTATCTGTGACTTTGGAGGACCAATCCCAGCACACATTTAACCACCAGACTCCTTGATGTTTTCTAAAAGCTGCAGGTTCCCAATCTGCATAGGGGCATCCCCACCCTTGGGAGTGTGACCAGACCCTGCAACATTTTCTAGAGGTGGCAAGTTCCCGATCTGCACAGGGGCATCCCCACCCTTGGGAGGAGATATGTCACCTATCACCCCAGGGCCTCACGGCGCATGCAGCCTTCTGCTCATCTGACCCAGCTGACCTGATGTCTGCCATGTTCTGGATCAATACGACACTCTGTGGGATGTATATTGTGTCAGAGGGCAGAAGAGTTAACACGGCCCTAGGAGAACATGTAAATCAATATTGTTGTCTGCTCCTGTGGAAGTGAGCTCGTGCTGGGCAGCGCCTCAGCAGGGGGTGCCAGCGGGCTGGCTCCACGGGCCACCTCCCCTCTCCATCCGCCGCAGGGCCTCTCCCCATGGTCCCTACAGCACTGCAGTTCAGGTTCTCACAGGGCAGCCGAGCAAGAATTCCAAGAGTCCCAGGGGGAAGCACCAGGCTCCAGCAGACCTGGCCTCGGAGTCAGGCAGCCACACTCCCACCATATTCTACCCGGCAAGGAAGCCACAGACATGAAGTCGGGGAAGGTGGGTGGGGCTGTGAGTCCACCTCCCCATGGGAAGACAGAGTAGGAAGCCCTCCCCAGATGACCTCAGGGAGCACAGCCAGGCCAGAGTCAGTTTATCCGTTGAGGTCACTGCTGAGTCAGAAGACCCCTCCCAAATCACAAGAGGCAGCCTGAGCCCCTCTCCGCCCTGGCTGCCTGGTGGGGGACACGTGGCCCTCTCTTCCTGCAGACCCATGAGTGTCCACCCACAACCGGGTGCCTCAGGGGTCTCAAGAGCAGTCAGCCTGTGGGGGGGTCTCAGGGTGGGTCAAAGCATGGCTCTGTGGACACCTCTAGGTCTGAGCTTCTTGCAGAGGGCGGAGGCCCCAGCCACTCTGCAGAAACCGTGCAGAGTTGCTTCTTTCCTTGAAGGCTTGAGCTCAGCGCATTCCTGCTGCTGTCAGCAGCGCCATCGTTCACTGCCCGGCCCAGCCTCTGCTCTCAGCACCCACATGCCTACCAGCACAGCAAGTTACACACTGACAGCTCTAAACTGTATCCCTGATTTACAGCTCTTTCCTTGCACAAAATCAGCCAGTCTCCCTGAAGACTCCTAGCTTCCCTCCTAACAAGTGCAGCATGGGAGGGCCACGTCCACTTCCTCATCAGGGCTGGCAGCAGAAGGCCCTGAGTGCCTCCCACCAATTCCTGTGTGCTCCCCACTCTCCAACACCTTTAAAAATAGGCAACTGACACCAGACGAAGATCCCCAGGCAGGGTCCTCGTGGCCGTGGCCACTGGTGATTCGAGGGCCCTGGAGGGGTCGGGCCTCTGCGTCCCTGGAACGTTCACCATGGTTCACCTTCGCCTTCTGGGAGATCGCCCGTTCGCTCTCCGGCCCTCACTGGCTCCTAAATTCGGCCGACCCAAGGAGCACTCCCCATTCTTTGGTCCCGCGTTTTTTTTTTTTGTCTTTTGTTTTGAGACGGAGTCTCTCTCTGTTGCCCAGGTTTCAGTGCAGTGACACCATCTCACTGTAAGCTCCGCCTTCCAATTTCAAGCAATTCTTCAGCCTCAGCCTCCCGTGTAGCTGGGATTACAGAGGGTGCACCACCACACCCAGCTAATTTTTGTATTTTCAGTAGAGATGGGGTTTTACCATGTAGGCCAGGTTGGTCTTGAACTCCTGACCTCAGGTGATCCACCTGACTCGGCCTCTGGAAGTGCTGGGATTACAGGTGTGAGCCACCACCGTGCCCAGGCCCATGTCTTTCTGCCCTGGACGTGACCTCTTTGAGGCTGGTGGGTTCATGTGCCCCTGGAGATGGGAACCACCCTTCTGGCATTTCCTCCGAGACCCACCAATGGCAGTTTCCACATCGAGAGCTGGGACAGCCCACCTGGTAGTCTACCTGTGCAGGGCTCCCAGGGGCTGGGATACTGGCCCTGCCCATACCTGCCCCCTGCTCCTCCGCACCTTGAAAGAGGACCTGATGAGTCTGCTGGGAGTTTGGGAAAGTGGCTTGAGCTTTCCCTGAAGAAGTCGCCCCCACCGTCGAGAATAGGGAAGCAGTGCCCCTTCTATCTCTGCAGGTCAAGTGAGGGGGCCCCAGGGAAGCCAAAGCAAGGGACTGAGGGTGGAAGGTTTAGGACAGGGACACAAGCCGGCTCCTCCAGAGGGGGCTGGAGGTCTCTTGAAAGAGACCCCTCCCATGAGGGCCACTTGGAGTGGCCAGATGACCCATGAGAAGGGCCGCAGCAGGTGGCCCGCCAAGAGGTCACCCCCTGTTCAGGAGGCCACAGGTGGGAGAGCCTCAGAGACAGGGTCTCCCACACCCTCAGGAGGACCCAGCCTCGTCCCTTCCATACTGCTCCAACAGAATGGCTGAGCCTGGGCAATTTATAGAGCAGAGTCGTGTTTCTTCCAGTCCTGGGGGCTGGGAGGGCAAAGTCCGGCCGCCACAGGCTCAGCATGCAGTGAGGGTGCTGTCCTCCCACACCTGCCCTGGGGATGACGTTTCCAGCACACAGATGTAGGGGGACAGCCCCTCAGGAGCCGGCCATGCCCAGCAGCACCTGCACAGACACCCAGGCTCCCTCCCTGGGGATCCTTCTGCCCCTGCCTCTCCCTGACTCTGCTGGGGTGGGGGCAGGGCGGACATGGTGAGGGGGGCTGGAGAACAAGCTGACCAGGCCCCCCAGCCCCTCCCTACCTGAAGGGGCCTCCTGTGGGAAGGCAAGCTTGACCTAGGCGAGTGTGTGCAGATGTGTGGCTGGTGCCACCCCAGGTGTCCTGGGCAGGAGAGAGGTACTGGGAAGCAGCTTGGAGAGGGAAGGCAGGAGCAAAGGACCTGCAGTCTGCTAGAACCCAGCCTGTCTGTGTTTTCACTCAGCCCGTTACACACCTGGGTGCCCACGGACAGAGAATAGAGGATGGATAAACAAAACCCCACCTGTCCTCGCAGTGGAGTCCCACTCAGCCCAAATAAGTCGAAGCAGGTTCCAACACGCACTGCAACCCCGGTGAACCCAGAGGACGTTCTGCTGGCTGAAATGAGCCAGTCACAAAAAGACAGTTTCTGTGATTCCCCTCCTAGGAGGCCCCGAGATCCTCAAATCCACAGAGACCAGAAGTCGAATGGAGGGTCGCAGGGTTGGGAGGAGGATCGGCGGGGTGCTGGATGAGGACAGAGCATCAGTTTGGGAAGATGGAGAAATTCTAGAGAAGGAGGACAGCCCCGGCTGTGCTTCCTGCCACTAAGCTAAGCACTTAGAAACGGGTCAGTGGGCCCGTGGGCCCAACTCCTCAGGAGGTTGAGGCCAGGGGAGCATGTGAGCCCAGACCCTGCCACTGCACTCCAGCCTGGGGTCCAGCACGAGACCTTGTCTCAGAAAAGGAAATAGTTAGGGGAGCGAATTCTGTTGTCTTTTGCCACCGTAACAAAACTTCTTTGCGGAGCCGAGCGTGCAGTTAGCGAGAGCAGTGTTCCTGCACGCAGGCCGGCGCCAGCCACCAAACACCCTCATTCCCTTTGTTCCACGGTTTCCACATGAACAGGTGCCACACGTGTTGTAAACCAGTAGAGGTGCGCTGGCTGGGGTGCTCCATGGAATGGGAAGGGACACGGTGGCCAGCTGGGTCCATGGCCTCAGAGTCAGACATTGGGAGCGGGGAGGAGGCTGACCTCACTCTGGCCCACTGGTCAGCCTGAGGCCGGAGTCCAGTCTACCATGTGTGACCCGGTGTGTGACTAAGTACTTGGAGAAAAAGCCAAAAGGATGATTTCTGGGGTCAGGGAAGATGGCAAGGGGCAATGAAAGTGCAGCAGCCCGAGCTCCCCGCGTGGCCCTCCACCCTCTCCCACCCACCCTGCACCTGCGAGCAGAACTGCACCCCAAGCTCCCCGCGTGGCCCTCCACCCTCTCCAGCCCACCCTGCACCTGTGGGCAGAACTGCACCCCAAGCTCCCCGCGTGGCCCTCCACCCTCTCCAGCCCACCCTGCACCTGTGGGCAGAACTGCACCCCCAAGCTCCCCGCGTGGCCCTCCACCCTCTCCAGCCCACCCTGCCACCAAACACCCTCATTCCCTGTGGGCGGAACTGCAGTTCGGTGCTGCAGAACCAGCAAATCGCTCCTGGTTGGTTGAGCCAGTGGGCTCTCAGGCCATTCATAAATGACGAGTGGTTGCCACAGCAACAGCCCCCGCCCATAGTTCATCTCTTGGCAAGCTCTAGGATCCTGCAGAAAGCCAGGCTGGAAAGGAAGGGCCTCAGCCTCCCCACTCCGCAGCGACAAGCCCCATGGGGCTCTGAGTGCAGGGCCCACCTGGCCCAGGTGAGACCAGGATTTGGTGGCAAGAGTGGGCTGGTTTGGGCCAAGAGGAGTGGCCGGCAGCAGTTTGGGGAATGAAGGTAGGTGGATTCCGCTCTGGCTTTGACCTCGTACCACCTGTGTTCTATTGCCCGTGTCCTGTGAGCCCCTCCAAGCCTCAGTTTCTTTATCTATAAAATGGAGAGAATTGTACCTGCCCCATCGGGTTTTTTGAAAATGTAAGTGATTGAATACATAAAGTGAAGGTATATGGAAGCATTCAGAAAATGTGACTTAATGTCACGACTGTTTGTAAAAAGATGTAAATTATAAGAAAAAAACACTTTTGCCCATGTATTACCATTTCCGGTGGTCTTACTCCATCCAGAGTAAGATCTGTTCCTATAAGAATGGTCTTTTTTTTT